AAGTATTGTAAAACGTATAAAAAAAATTTTTTTATCAATTGGATCGTCTGTGTAACATGGACGGTCCTACCTCGACATAGATGCACTCAGTTGTGACTTGGGCGGTAAGTAATAACTATTTGATACTTTGGGTTTGGCTTTTACTGATTTCATGTGTAGTTGATGGTTAGAGGTACTAATCAAGAATTCTGATCAGTGAGAAACAAAAGAAGTGTGCGCTACAGTAACGTCCACAATTTACGAGTTCTTTCAAAGATAAATCATAATAAGCCTCGTACGGGCAATACAAAAATCATCAAAGAAAAAAAATTATATAGAGGAATGCAATGCTAAATGATGAAGAATCGTAATGCTATTATTTATTATTATAACTTTTACGATTTAATAATACATGTAATAGATCAATTATATGGCATTGTAAACAATAAAAAACATATGCTGTTTTTTTTTTTCTGGTATCGGTGGTAAAACTAAAATTTCACAGATTAAAAGTTTTCCAGCAAGATCTATTTTAAATTTATCTCAAGATAATGTCGATCATATAATTGCTAGGTTTTAAAAGCAGAATACCTCTTTTATGAAACCCTGAAAATACATATACGAGCGTCGATCACTTAAATTTCGTAAAAGCATCTCAGTCGACTGATATGTGTATACTTGACTAACGAAAGTCTTAAGGTAAAAGTCTATAATAGGAGTAATATGCAAGTATTATAATTGTCCAGATTATAAAAACGAGTTTGAAAATGAAGGTTTAAACTAACATTAAAATATTGTAGACAATAGAAACTGTTAAACAAAAATCCGAATAATACATGACTGTTCTGGTAAGTTTAAGTTACGGATGAATTCGAGACGCATCTAAAAACACAACTTGTAATTTTTACAAATTAAAAGAGACAAGACCTCAAAGTCAAAAAGGTGTCTCGAATAGCTTTAATCTCATGGTTTCAAGTTAAAGATTTTAAAGTAAATAATTTATATCATGTTATATGTGAATGTGCTCGTTTAAGCAGCAGTTAGAAATAAGAATTTGTAAGACTTCATTATATATTAATAGCATGTGAATTTTATGCAAAATGTATATACATCAAACAGGCAAATTATCTCCAGCATAATATTTTTTTAATTTTTGAGTCTTTTTTTCACCGATAAGTTTTGCTACTTCTAAAGGGTCCAACCCTTGCCAATCCGTGTGATTTACCAACGGAAGGGGACGCCCATCCGCCCAAGGAGATTTAGTAATTATACCCCGTTTTTTTGGTAATGTGACATTAGATAGGTTGGAGTTTTCATTTTTGAAAGTATATGGACCAGAATTTGATAAATCTGTTGACGTGGAGTCTTTCATGATAGGTATCTTTGTTAGGAGTCTCTGGTATAATCGCCGTATAAAACGAGGCCTTGGATTATGAGGTCTGGCAGTGCAATATGGCCCTTCTTTCACAAGATCACGCGGACTTTTTGGTGCCCCCGTATTTTTAAGAATTCTTAATCTGTTTGGCTCATCATGGTTATGATTTCTTGACAATATACTTCTATTTGCAACACCTTCTCCTGTCAAAGTGCCTTTTCCAGCATTTTTTTCTAACTGATCTAATGTGATATTATCCACAGGTGGCATAACAGTTTTCATGATCTTAGAATAATGTCTCCACAATAGGTTCGCTTTTCGTGATGGGTATAGAGGTTTATGTTTCGGTACTGGTAGCGTAGGATATAGACTTTTTGCTTGTGATGATAATAATGTTTGAAGTGATGGTGACATTCGTGGTGGAGCAGTTCTTGGAAATCCCCGAACAATGGGCTTGGGAGCCTCACTCGGTTCATTTATAATGGGCTGTTATCGACAGGATCACACCATTTCTCCGACGATTATTTCCCCAATACAATTTTCCCCAACAGTTTTATTTCCTCGAGTCAGGAAATAATTGTTTTACAGCTATTTTCATAATTTCTGGAACACCTGATAAAAATTGGCCGAATGATTTTTCAGCAGATTCGATTAAGTTTGTGATTTCGGTATAATAGATTCAATAAAATTCATATATATACGTAATTTAAGATCAGGTAACTAATATGAATATTATTGAATATACGTTCAAAGCATCTTCGCTGGAAAATAGTTGAAAAAAAAAAAAATTTTAGAAGGTTTATCATTTAGGTGTTAGCATATCTTTTATAAGTCAAATTCTCAAAAATATGGATGTATTGAAAAGCTTCCGTCACTTTCAGAACCACGTTCGCTGAACATGAATGATACAAAATATTTTAAAACTTTAATGAAAAAAACCTGAATGGTATTTGTGCTGTATGAATTACAATCCGAGATGGAACTCTGGTTAGACGTAAAATTGGTCCTATGGCAATTTGAAGGGCTACGAACCAACTTGTATATACAAATAAAAATAATATTTTTATTTATATACAGGATCTTCTTTTAACATGTACTTTGTGCAATATGTTTAGCTTAAAAGTCCGATTAATATATAGTACATTTTTTATATTTTTTGTTAAGACTTATTGGCACACCAAACATGTTGGATAAGCATTCGAACGAAAATTAATAATGTTGGCATTATTGTTACAACGGTCTGTAAAACAGTCATTATGATATGGATCATGCCGAAATTGCAAACTTAATCGAATCGGCTGAAAAATCATTCGGCCAATTTTTATCAGGTGTTTCAGGAATTATGAAAATAGTGTAAGAATTTGCTCAACCGGTTAAACGAGTTTTGCTCGGTTCAGTCCGGTTACCCGATTAGAGCCCAATCGTATTTACAAAAAATTAATTGGGTTACCCGGGTAGCAATAGTTATGATCCAATTATAGGTAACCTTTATATGGATACAATATCCAGCGATGTGTCTGAATTATCAAACCCAAACATGTCTTACAGCTGCTCTCATAAATTCTGGGACAACCTAAAAATTTACTCGTTTCCCGAGGTTTCGTCCTATGAATCATCCGACTCTCCGAAAAACACATCGCTATCTCCGGACTGAAGTTCCGAAGAGTTAGGCGACCTTTAAGACGAAACCGAAGAGATTTCGGGAAACGACAAATTTTTAGTTTGTCCCAAAACTTATGAGAACAGCTGTAACATGTTCGTAAACTTTCAGACTAGATCTGGATCAGACTTAACAAAGCCCGAAGTTGATATTCAATATGAATCAAACTGGGCTTGAAAATAGTTTGGGTTTTGGTCAGATTTGAATTTCAATCCAAACCTAATCCAAAGTTTGGTTCGGTCTGGGCCTGATGGAACAGTTCTAACCTCACCTCTAATAATATCATACAAAACTGAAAAATAAATTTATGAATTAATTAAGTTAAACAATTGTATTTAATTTGTAAATTACAATTTTAATATTTAATAATGTTAATCAATTATCTTAATAAATTCTCTTGATATATAAAAATATATAAAATAATATAATTCAAACTTCCTTAATATATATCTTTGAACCTTGTTTAAACATAATAAAAAATTTTTATATACTACAGTATAATATAAATAATATTTGTTTATATGTCAACTTCTAATTCTGGGACAACACCAATATTTTCCCAGTTTAGACATTCTAGAAATTTTTCATCTAACTCTTTAATATCACAATTTGGGTTAATTGCAATAGTATTAATGGTTTTTTGAATACCTTGAAAAGATTTATTCTCAGCTTCTTTCGGAATACTTTCATTAAGTGTATTATTCTTAATAAAATCGTAAGAACTTTTCATTCAGAACTTAGAAATTTTTTCATCAGGAACTATCTATTAACATTATATTATAAAATATATAAAGTATATATGAATATATATAAATATGTGAAAAATAATTAAAAAACTCGAAATTTTTTCTTGATGTCAAATAAAACTCACTCTTTGAAAACAATGACACGCTCCTTCATAAACTTCAAGTGTGACATCGGTAGGCTTCTTGAATGGTGAATTAACAAAATTCATTGTAGCATATTTAGGTATTTGAAATTTACTCGGATCAGAAGCTCTGAAACTGAATAAAATATTTGAATCTAAAAATCTTTCTCCACCACCCACTTGCTATTTTATCAATGAATGTAAAAACATGTGATTAAGGTGACTAATACAAAATTATATATGAATAATATGATAATTAAATTACTTACACATAAAATAGGTGGAAGATTTCCCAAACTTTCAGCTAACATTGGACTAACATATGGGATGGCCAAAGCTTCATTTGCACAATATAAATTAAATCTTGGAACTTTAATAAAAGAAGGATGTCCGACTACTTTTGGTTTTTTTTGTTTAATTTTTTCCGAAAGAATTTTTACGCGTTCAAGATATTCAATTGAAGTAGACCGAGTTTACAAACATTTAGCGCACCAGCTATAAAGTCAGTTTTGTCCATTTCAGGTTTCCAATAAGATGGCATGCTAGCCATTAAATCTACCCATGGTGACTATTTTGAATTTATTATTATTAAGAATAGAATTAGTTAAGCATAAAAACCTTGTAATAATCATAATATTAATAAACATACCCATAAAACAAGTCCTGATGGCAATGGTAAACCAACATCACGAATGAATAATGCAGTAGCAACAGCCAATCCACCACCAGCACTAGGTCCAGCAAATATAATTTGTTTAGGATCAATTGGTTTAAGTCCAGTTTCAAGAGGAGGATCAGTAAGATATAAATACGCTGCTAAAGCATCACAAAGTGCAACAGGAAATTGATGTTCAGGAGAAAGACGATAATTAATTGCTAATTATAGAGAATAAAAGGTTAAAATATATCTTTTATGAACTAAGAAATACAGTGACTAAAATTTAGATAATTTTACCAAAAACTGAACATTCAGCATTTTTTGCAATTTCATAAGTCGAATTGCGACATACTTTAGGTGATCCCATATAATATCCTCCACCAAACATGAAAAGCACAACCCTTCCTGTATCTTTCCTATCTTTAATTTTAACCCATTCTCCAGATAATCCATCATTATCAAGATCTTGCCACTTTTCATCAATAACGTCTTCATATATTTTTAACCTATTCACTAAATATTCCTTGCTTTTAATTACATATCTTTCATCCAATTTAGTCTCATCCACAATGCATTCATCTGGAGTTGGTACAGGAATAAGGCCATATTGCTTTTTTGCTTCTATAGTTATATCTTTAGAATCATTAAAATTCTTTTTCAACCGTTCTAACGCTTCATAATATTGCGGAGAAAACGAAAATTGGAACATTATTAAATATCCTTTATTTTATTTGTATTAAAATGAAATTTTTTTTTTATCGGTTTGGTGTCTTTTAAGAAAAATGAGAATCCTGTAGTTATGCGGTTTATAAGTCTGTAACTCAACACGCAGTTCGTATGAGATTACATACAAATTTATCCTAAAGAGGCGGAAATAAAATTCCGATTAACATGTACAAATTTGATTTTGTAAGTTGCGTTGCTGGGGAATTATTTCCACATTTGTAAAAATAATTATCAATCGTTCTATAATTCCACAATTCCAAAAACAGCAGAGGTCTTTTTCGATTGCCCTACATTATTAAGTTCGCCGAATGTTTGCATGATGAGAGCATCTGAATACGAAGTAAAATTCCCAATTTATATAGTGTTGGCAATTGGACCAATTGGACATTGTCCAATGCCAACACTGATTATAATATAATTGGAAATTTTACTTTGTACTGTGAGCCTGGGAACACGTAGTGGATTCGGCAGGCGCAGCTTCGAAATAATGTTATGGCGTTTAATTACCATAAATGGGTTTCCCGGCTGTATACATATAATAAAGGCTTCTCGCCCTTGAGGGCGGATATTCCCGGTTCGTGATTCATAATTAAGTACTTCGTTACCCTCCACATTCATTAGATAAACTAATTGATCAACTACTAAGTGGCATAGTAGCGCGACCATCGATTTGTATTCTTACCCTCCGAAGTATCGACGACCGAAGCCTCGACTTACCCATTCGCCAAATATAACACGCCTCTCTCGATAGGTTGTCTGGTGTGCTGGATTAGGTTGTCCCGGAAGACTGACTCTCCGTTGTCAGTACGTACGTACGTACTCGCAGGAATTGCTGAACGATTGAAAATCATTTCCATATGTAGAAATAATTCCCAGCACGTAACTTACAGTCAAAATTGTACATGTTAATCGGAATTAAAGTCAAAATTATATATGTTAATCGGAATTTTGTTCTGTATATCTCTAGGATAAATGTGATCTCGTACGAATACGAACTTCTAGAATGCATAACTACAGGATTCACGTTTTTCTTTAAAAACGACAAAACAGAAAAAAAAAAAGGTTTAATTATTTTTAAACCAATTTTAGCCAATCATACTGTTATTATTGCTTTGAAAAAGTCTATTGACTTAAAAGGCACAGCAAATAATTAAAGATTTTTAGCTCTCTGCTTGAAATTAAAACTTGTAACTTTTAATAAGAATTGTTAAATATTAAAGAATATATATTTAAAATTTAAAAGAAAGGGTTCAATTTCTTTGTTTAAATCAAATTCACTTATAAAAATTTTGATGTGTTCTCATTTGAGTAATAAGTAGTGGACATATCCTATGGTTGCTTTAGATAATTAAAATTTAAAGAAAGAGTTCATATTCATTTCTTTGTTTAAATCAAATTTTTACTTATAAATTTCTATGTGTTCTCATTTGAATAATAAGTAGTGGACATATCCTATGACTGCTATGGATAATAATATGCCCCATTATGTTTTTAGAATGCAAAATATGACTAGGATTAATATTATTACCTCTCAAAAAGCTCTTTCGTGTTCGTGCTACAGGGTTTTGAGGGCTGTTACAACTGTTTTCATAATTCCTGGGACACATTATAAAAATTAGCCGAATGATTTTTCGGTTTTCGGCCGATCTGATTAAGTTATTGATTTCGGCATGTAAAAAATAAATTTTGAATCAGGTCCAATTTTTTAATATTGATATACGCAATCTATTATATCTATCACAAATTAAATCACATCGTTGGTCCGATTTCAAAAATTTATCTCCCGTATTAATTGATATTAAGCATATCAATACGTAATAATACTTACTAAAACATGTTCAATAAAATTTTCATAATCAATAGAATTCATAGAACCTTCTTAAATACAATACGATAAAAGACCATTAATACGCAATGCACCTTCTATGGTGAAACATCTTCCTCGAACAAAAAATGTATACTTTTGAGCACGCAATCCTGAAAAATTCCAGCCATAGCGTCGTAATAGTGTCCTTCTGTCATAAGCAGTTTCAACTGAAAAACTAAGACTTGGTGCATACTGAGACATTCGTAAAATGAAATTGGTTCATTACTTTCTTCTGCGAGTTTTGAAATCTATAGATTTAAAATTGGTAATAAATTTATAAAATAAAAATATTTACCCCTCCACCTAAGACCAATCAAAATGCTTAATTTTGTTACACAAAAAAGTATATTTATCTATAATTATGTCTAGATAATCTATGATTTTGATTGGCTATTATTATAGATCGTGTAACCTAAGATTTTACCCAAAAATATTAGATAATACCTGTCATTGCCCTTATCGTTATGCCGAAATAATAACTTATCCGGATCAGCCGAAAATCATTCGGCCAATTTTTATCAGGTATCCCAGGAATCATGAAAACGGAATTATTTCGGTTAGCACGGTTGAGATGTACCTCGCAAAATATAATGAAATCATCTTCACGCAAATTATTACATCATACCTCACGAACTCAGAATTGCCTTGGATGACGCCACCCCACACTTCGCGCGACGTCATATGATTTGTGGAATGTATGCTAGTTTTACCTCGCTCGGGACACATCTCTAGGTTGACAGAGTTATCCGGCTTAACTGGTTAACCGGACCTAAAAAAAATCAACCGGGTTAACCAAATCGAATCAAACACTGGTCGAATTATGCCATTTAACATTCCAAAAATTCCAAATTAGTATCTTTTGAAGATATTCAAACGCCATATGTTCTTCTTTTTCAATTTCGATTCCTCTTGCATCATAATGACATAGTTATTCACATTATACGGATAATACAAATTGCACAAAAATACTAGTTTTAAACAGATAATCCAAATTACAGATCAAAAAACTACACTAAAGTCTTGCTTTTCTTTGGTGTCACTTATCTATCATACATATTGATCTTGATTTTAATAACCAGTTAGGCCAGGCCAATATAATTCTTTGTTTAACATAATTCACACCCCTTCAATTTTTAAAATTTTATAAAAAAAACACACATCAATTAACCTATCAAATTGCAGTGTTGGCTTTTTTATATTTTTTTATATTTTTTGCAGCTAATAGAATTGCTGTATTTTTTTAATTTGTGTATTTTTATCCCTCCCTCCCACTCTTATGAACTATTTAATGTTATGTTAGAATCAATTTGGGTGGCCTTAACTGGGTAGCTGATAAACAATCGGTTGTACCGAGTTAACCGATTAAGAACTTACTCAATCGGTTAATAGAGTTTTGTTCGGTTCAGCTCACTTACCCGATTAAAGCCCAATCGGTTCAAACCATTAGTTAGCGTTAGTATTTACAAAAAAAATTAATTTGAGCTACCTGGGTAGCAATAGCTATGATCCAATTATAGATATCACTGGGTAACCTTTATATGGATACAATCTCCGGCGATGTGTCTGATCAAACCCAAACACGCTCAGACTGGATCCGGATCAGACTTAACAAAGCCCGAAATTGATATTCAAATCTGAACCAAACTGGGGGGACGTCTAAAGCGGAGTAGATTCTTATAATATATATTTTATCGAATTAACTTTAAGGTTATGGTCATCTTGGATTACAGTTAGAGCAGGCTTTAGGTAGTTATATATAAGCAAAATTGCCTTCCCGACATTTTTACTTAGCTTACCCAAGGTAGGTTTAGACCGCTATTTTTTTTATTTTCAAGTTTTTTTTCTTGTTTTTTTTCTTGTTTTGCTTCGTCGGCGATCATCAAAATTCTATAATTTGATTAGTAGTATATCACGTGATTCTGCTCCGCTTTAGACGACCCCCAAACTGGGCATGGTCGAATTTCAAAACAGACCCAAACCTAATCCAAAGTTTGGTTCGGTCTGGGTCTGATGTAACAGTTCTAACCTCACCTCTAATAATATTATACAAAACTGAAAAATAAATTTATGAATTATAATTTAAGCCCTTTGTATTTAATTTGTTAACACAAGTTTAATCTTTAAATAAATTCTCTTGATACAGTATATAAAATATATAAATAATATAATTCAAACTTCCTCAATATATATATTTGAATCTTGTTAAATATAATAAAAATTTGTTATTTATTATAATATAAATAATATTTGTTTGCATGTCAACTTCTAATTCTGGGAGAACACCAATATTTTTCCAATTTAAACATTCTAGAAATTTTTCATCTAACTCTCTAATATCACAATTAGGGTTAATTGCAATAGTATTAATGATTTTTTGAATACCTTGAAAAGATTTATTCTCAGCTTCATTCGGAATACTTTCATTAAGTGTATGATTCTTAATAAAATCACAAGAACGTTTTATTGAGAACTTTGAAATTTTTTCATCAGGAACTATCTATTAACATTGTAATATAAAATATATAAAGTATATATGAATATATATATAAATATGTGAAATTTTTCTTGATGTCAAATAAAACTTACATCTTGAAAACAATGACACGCTCCTTCATAAACTTCAAGTGTGACGTCGGTAGGCTTCTTGAATGGTGAATTAGCAAAATTTATTGTAGCATATTTAGGTAATTGAAATTTACTCGGATCAGAAGCTCTGAAACTGAATAAAATACTTGAATCCAGAAGTCTTTCTCCACCACCCACTTGCTATTTTATCAGTGAATGTAAAAACATATGATTAAGATGACTAATACAAAATTAATATATGAATAAATATGATAATTAAATTACTTACACATAAAATAGGTGGTAGATTTCCCAAACTTTCAGCTAACATTGGACTAACATACGGAATGGCCAAAGCTTCATTTGCACAGTATATACTATATCTTGGAACTTTATTAAAAGAAGGGTGTCCGACCACTTTTGTTTTTTTTTGTTTAATTTGTTCTGAAAAATTTTTTACGCGGTCAAGATATTCGATTAGCGTGCCTTCTATAAAGTCAGTTTCGTCCATTTCAGATTTCCAGCCTGATGGCATGCTATTCATTAAATCTACCCATGTGACTTTTTTGAATTTATTATTATTAAGAATGGAATTAGTTAAACATAAAAACCTTGTAATAATCATAATATTAATAAACACACCCATAAAACAAGTCCTGATGGCAATGGTAAACCAATATCACGAATGAATAATGCAGTAGCAACAGCCAATCCACCACCAGCACTAGGTCCAGCAAATATAATTTGTTTAGGATCAATTGGTTTAAGTCCAGTTTCTAGAGGAGGATCAGTAAGATAGAAATATGCTGCTAAAGCATCACAAAGTGCAACAGGAAATTGATGTTCAGGAGAAAGACGATAATTAATTGCTAATTATTATTATAGAGAATAAAAGGTTAAAAATATATCTTTTATGAACTAAGAAATACAGTGACTAAAAATTTAGATAATTTTACCAAAAACTGAACATTCAGCATTTTTTGCAATTTCATAAGTCAAATTACGACATACTTTAGGTGATCCAATAAAATATCCTCCACCAAACATGAAAAGCACAACCCTTCCTGTATCTTTCCTATCTTTAATTTTAACCCATTCTCCGGATAATCCATCATTATCAAGATCTTGCCACTTTTCATCAATAACGTCTTCATATATTTTCAACCTATCCATTAAATATTCCTTGCTTTTAATTACATATTTTTCATCCAATTTAGTCTCATCCACAATACATTCATCTGGAGTTGGTACAGGAATTAGGCCATAATTCTTTCTTGCTTCTTCTAAAGTTATATTTTTAGAAGCTTTAAAATTCTTTTTCAACTGTTCTAATGCTTCATAATATTGCGGAGAAAACGAAAATTGGGACATTATTAAATATCCTTTATTTTATTTGTATTAAAATGAACTTTTTTTTTTATCTGTTTGGTCGTCTTTTAAGAAAAATGTGAACCCTGTAGTTATGCATTTTATAATTCTGTAACTCAGCACGCAGTTCGTATGAGATTACATACAAATTTATCCTAAAGAGATACACGGAAATAAAATTCCGATTAACATGTACAATTTTGACTTTGTAATTTGCGTGTGCTGGGGAATTATTTCTATATTTGTAAAAATAATTCTCAATCGTTCAATAATTCCACAATCCCACAAACAGCAGAGGTCTTTTTCGATTGCCCTACATTATTAAGTTCGTCGAATGTAACTCGAGTTTGCATAAGGAGAGCAACTGAATACAAAGTAAAATTTCCGATTATAATAATATAATTGGAAATTTTTATTTTGTACGTACGTAGTACGTACAGTGCAAGAAATCTAAAAACCACAATTATACCATATCCATATAACAGACAAAGTACAAACGTTGAAATCCTAAATTATAAACATCAATTAAGTGTGTATTAGGGTTGGTAAGCTATCAAAATTTAATGTAGTAAGTTATAATTTATAAAAAATACTAGAACAACATATATGAAAAATAAAATATCTGTGCAAATCCTTGCTTTTGATCAACCATACCTTTTCACATGCAATTTAACTGTCAACTGTTCAGTAATAGTGGAAACCAATGTGCAGTACACTTGGCACAGTAATTTAAAAAGTGTGATAAATAAAATTTTTTTTTATATATTGGTATTATATAGAATTATTTTTATTAAAAAGTATTAAAATTTTTGTGCTTTTAAATTAGTTAAACTACAGTATAACCTCGATATAACGAACCTCAATATACTGAATTTGGTATTATAGCGAAGATTTTTTTTAGCTAAAATTTTTTATTACAAAATTATCTCAATATAGTGAATTTTAATTATAAAACCTTGATATACTGTATAATGAAGAAAAAAATTTTTCATTTATAATAAAATTACCTTGTTATAACGAATACCTTGATAAAGCGAAATATTTATAGTATAATGAAACTTTTGTGTAACTCTATCAATCAAATTCTAAACCGAACGCTTTATAAATAAATATATATATTTGTTATATCAAGGGATATTATTTGTAAACCGAATATTTTATAAAATTATATATAGATTCGTTATAGCAAGGTATCTCAATAGACCGAAACCTTGATATATTGAACCAAACACCCCAGCTCCAGAGCTTCGTTATATCGAGGTTATACTGTATTATAAATTATTTATAATAATTTACTAAAAATTTTAACTGTATTTAAATTTAAATAAATGTTTGTATATGTAACTTACGTACATTCGTTAGATGTAAGTTACAGTGTAACTTACATTTGCCCAACCCTAGTGTGTATGTAAATACTTTTATTGAAGTCGATAATTTAAGAAATATGAATTTTGATGATTATCAGCTTGGCATAATCTGTAACCTATAATCAAGTTGCACATTAAAATTAAAATATCGACTTCAATAAATTTAAGTATTTAATTTCGCTGTTTATATTTTGTCTTTATAAGGTTTAATTGTGGTTTTTGGATTTCTTGCACCGTACGTACTAGAGTTGCAGGTGAAACCAATCTTCAATGGTGCACCGATGGTGAAACTAGAGTTATAGATGAAACTAATCTTCAACGGTGCACCGATGGTGCACCAGTTTTCTGGTGAAATTAATTAGTTTCACCAACAACTCTAGTACGTACGTACTCGCAACGTAGGAATTACTGAATGATTGAGAATTATTTCTATATCTAGAATAATTCCTCAGCACCGCAACTTACAAAGTCAAAATTATACATGTTAATCGGAATTTTATTTCTGGGGTAAATTTGTATGTAATATCATACGAATACGAACTAGACATTGAGTTACAGGCTTCTAAAATGCATAAACAGATAAAAAAAAGTGTTAATTATTTTTAAAAGCTATTTTAGCCAATCATACTATATTATTGCTTTGAATAAGTCTAATTTTTTTGACTTAAAAAGCACAGTAAATAATTAAAACATGGAGGACTTTCTCATTTTTCGGAAAAGCACGGGATTTTTCATGCGACAATCGACCAATCAGAAACCAAATTGTCAGCACATGATATAAACAGATTGAACTACACAGCCACGTATTCATATATTACTGTATTATAATTTAACTTCGAAGTAAAATAAATCGCATTTTAAAAGAATAAAACTCTTCACCCAACTTATAAACCAATTTATAAGTATAGAAACTTTATTAGAAAAGTTTATAAGAAGTTCCACGTTCTTTATTAATATTCTATAGAGTAGATAGTACTTCAACCGTTAAAAGAACGACCTTTTCCAACACGATGCAACTTGTGTTTCTTGAAAAGACGTTCTCTCGAAACTATTTTATTAGTAAACTATTGCGTAGTTGGTTTGTGTTTTTTAAGTTTACTTATACCCGAAAATTCTGGTTTTATACTACCATCCTATATAAATACTTGTTAATGTCGATCCCGGAAATCATCGGAATCGAGTGTCCTCCATGCTAATAATTAAAGATTTTTAGCTCTGCTTGAAATTAAAAACTTGTAGCTTTTAATAAAAATTGTTGAATATTAAAGAATATATATTTAAAATTTAAAGAAAAGGTTCAATTTCTTTGTTTAAATAATTTATAATACTTATAAAAATTTTGATGTGTTCTCATTTGAGTAATAAGTAGTGGACATACCCTATCATAATACGTAATATGCCCCATTATGTTTTTAGAATGACTAGGGTTAACATTATTATCTCTCAAAAAGCCCTTTCGTGTTCGTGCTACAGATTTTGAGGGTTGTTACAGCTGTTTTCATAATTCCCGGGACACCTTATAAAATTAGTCAAATGATTTTTCGATCCGATTAAGTTATTGATTTCGGCATGATCAGTATATAAAAAATATATTTTGAATCAGGTCCAAATTTTTAGTACTGTATTGATATACGTAATTCTTGATAGCTATGATATCTACATCACAAATTAAATTACAGATTTCAAAAATTATCTCCCGTATTTAATTGATATTTAAACATATCAATATCATATTTACGTAATAATTCTTACTAAAACATGTTCAATAAAATTTTCATAATCAACAGAATTCATAGAACCTTCTTGAATACAACAAGATAAAAGGCCATTAATGTACAATGCACCTTCTATGGTGAATTTAAATGTACTATTTAAATCAAATTTATGTATAGTCCCGTATGAATGTTTGAATAGACAATTTTTTGTATACCGATTACAATTATCTATAGTAAATTATTTGATCATTGTTAAAATATGGGCGAATCTATTTGTCGCCGGCAGTTACAGAAATCTCAAGATTTTAAATCAAAATAACTCAAAATTATGCCTACTAAATCAACTTCCGTAACTTAGCGAAAAAAATATTCTTTACATAATTTTACTACATACTATGACCTTTCTAATCCTAAATACTAATGTTCCGCAGAAAAGATTCGCACGGATTCGGTATTTTTAATGGGTAAAAAAGTAGAATTTCATAAAGGGTACTTGAATTAAAACTGCAAGTATAATTAATATTGAAAACAAGCTACCGGCAATGTCTCTCACGTGCAATTATAGCCAATACCAATCTTTCAAACTCGCTGTATAAACCGGATTCGTGATTCAAATCCTTAGCGTCACTTATTATTATCTATCATCTTGATTTAATAACCAGTTAACCGGGTAACTGATAGTCAATCTGTTGTACCGGGTTAACCGATTAAAGAACTTACTCAACCGTTAACCGAGTTTTGTTCGGTTACCCGATTAGAGCCCGATAGACTCAAATCACTAGTTAGCGTTAATATTTACAAAAGATTGAATTGGGTTACCCGGGTAGCAATAGCAATGAACCCAATTATAGATATCACTGGGCAATTCATAGACAGAAATTCGTTTGATTGGCTGATGTAAATCAATTACCCGGGTAACTTATTTATACACTTTAAAGTACTTTTTTAGGACGTAAAATTACACAAGCAAAAAATCGTCGCAAATATCATTTCTAGCTACAGAAGAGTGCTAGAAAGTTAACTCTAAAATTAATCTTTTATAATCTCTTATTTAGAGAAGTTAGCTTAGACGCAACTTTCTGAACTAGGTAAAGAAAAAAAAGGCTTTGTTCGAATTTTAACACGCACTAAAAAAAATAGTTACTAACAAAATAGCTGGTTTTTTTTTAGAGATCGGAATTTCAGATTTGGTTTTTGAAGCAGAATAAGCTTATTAGCGGTGTTAGCAATAAGAAATTTAGGGTTAAAGCACTCTTAAATTGGGTTGGTTTTTTAGTTTGGGTTTATAGATCATATATATGAGTTTGGGTTCTTAGATAGTTATATTTAGTAAGTCTAGTTGTTTTAGTAGTTGAACACCACTTTTACTCCTTTCTACATATATTCACCTATCTTATATATGTATATAATCAGTGTTTTTATCGATTTGTATAAACTTTTTTATTGAAGTTTTCGTTTTTAGTACTGTAATATTGTAATAACGAATAAAAATTGTGCAATTTAATTGGGTAATAATCACGTGTAGATTTACAAATCGATCTAAAAACTAGCCAATCAGACAAATTTCTGTCTATGACCCTGAGTACTGTATACAGCGACCAACAGTAATAGGTTATAATATATTTTAAAATTTTTAGCTATTCTTATCAAATAGCTTTTAAAATATTGAATTTTAATTTAACGATTGTAAATTTTTTATATTTTATCGAGTTTTTGAAATGGTAGAAATGAGTAAAAAAAAAATTTCTCTAGTATACCTATATATTGCATATACGCATATACCAGGTTACATTAGAATATTGATTTAAGATTAATTTTTGATTACATACTTTTTGTTTGAAACAATAAGTAAATCAAGCATTGATCTAATCTGACATACGAGTATACGCAGTATACAGAAAAAATTTTTTTTTACTTAGGC